GGGGGGGGGGGAATGTTGAGAGCTCAGTTTGCCAGGGGCAACACCCATAATGATCCACGTTGTTGTGCACAGAGGCGTTGAGAGCCCCAACTCTGGAGCCTGTCTGCCTGGGTCTGAATATCCCCCATCCACAGCCGTGTGATCTTCACATTCCAGTTTCCTCATCTGTAAAACAGAGATGTGAGGATTATGTGACAATGTATGTAAAGCCGTTAAACAGGGCCTGCCCGTGGCAAGCTCTATTTGAGTATTAGTTCATAATTACTGCCACTGTTTACTGGGCTCTTGTTACGTACCAGACACTATGCTAAGCCTTTAGCATAAGACAGCTTTGTTGATCCTCAGCAGAAGTTCAACCATCCCCATTGTGCGGATGAGGAGGTTGAGGCACAGAGAAGCTAAGTCACACACCCAAGGTCATACAGCGGAGAAGTGACAGAGCCTGGGTTCGAACTAATGCATATGCCTTCAGCCTCTAGACATCCAGAATCACCCTGAGACCCAGGGGGAGCTCTCATTTGGGAGAAGGGAGGACAGCAGAAGGTTTTATCCGGACCAGAACCTCATGCCTAGAGCCCCACCCCTTGCCCCCTGTTCCTATGTCCTTCCTCTTCCTGACTCCACATTCTGAGGTGGGTACTGAGAGGCACCAAGAGGGTGGGGACACCTGGCCCCGTGCATTTCAGTGGGGATGAGGAGGAAGCAGAGAAAGCTTTAGATACACTGCAGGCATAATGGTGTCACCACTACCCCAATTTCCTGGGCTGTCATAGCTCACTCATCAGGCCTATTCCTCTCCTCTGGGTGAAGGCTAAATTAATAAATAAATGTTTATTGCTTTCTCATCTGGTTGATTAAAACAAGGGCAATCCCTCAAAACGAGGACCATATGTTTATCAGCTCGGCCTATAGTTTTGAATCAGCAGACACCGTTTTCTCTGTGTTTTATCAGTATACATCAAAATAAAAAGGGGGCCAGGAAACCTTTTTATATTCTGAAGGGGTCTTACATGTAAGCAAAAGCCTAGCTTGCTAAGGGCTGGTCTCTGAGAATCTGGTAGCCCTGTGACTCCGGGGGCTACAGGGCAGACACAGAGAAGCACAAATAGCCTTTTTCCCTTTAGAGCTGCTTTGTGTAGAGGTCATGGCTGTCTGGGCCCTCTTTGTAAGCTGTGCTGGCCCCCGCCATGGGCTGGGGAGGGAGGGAGGCCGGAGTGCTGGGTTTGGGTTATATTGATTGAAGATCTCCATTCCTTAAATACCTTGAGAGTCGCACAGTATTTCTAATTTTATTTTGCATATGGGTGTGTGGTGGGAAGGTGTGCGTCTGGATTTGCGTGTGTGTGTGTGTGTGTGTGTGTGTGTGTGTGTGTGGTGTGTGTGGGGAGGAAGGGAGAGAGAGAAGATGTCAGTGGGGGAAGGGAGCACTCAGCCAGGAAAGAGTCTGGCTGTGGAAACGCAGATGGGCAAGAACAATTACTTGTGTAGAAATATAGTTTATCAACAGGAGAAGACATTAAAGCTTCAGATCTCCAGCTAGCATCTCCTCAGTGCCCCCCACCTTAGTGAATTGAGTAAGAGGAAGTACAGCCAAATGTTATTTTGTTTTTCTAAAATTGGTGCTTATCCCTGACAAAATCAATAGGGAAGTCAATTTGAAAACCTCACCTCGATTCTGGACCCATCGGAATTAAGCAGACCAAGAATGAACAACTTTACTGCTACTTCCCAGCTGTGGGACCTTGAGCAGGTCACTTAACCCCTCTGTTCTCAGTCTTCTCACCCATAAAATGGGATGAAGATGTTACCTCGTGGTGATGATCAAATGGGATAATGTAATTTAAGCACTTCTGTCCTGGCAGGAGATTGGACATGTTAGCTTCTTCTCTTCCTATCTCTCTTCTGGGCCCTTATCTCTACCCACAAGAATATCTTGCCTTTCCAGCTAAAATGAGAGCTCTCTATGTTGGAAATGTTTGGGGGTCTCTTCCATGTCTCCTAAAATGATTATTTGCCCCGCAGAGACACTGAGTAAAAGTGTACTGACTGATGAGTTGATACTGGTCTCTCTCTGAGAGGAAAAGCTGTGTTCCAAGGTCTTTGGAATATCTGCTAAGGACACAGACGCCATTGATCTTGCGTCCTGCCACTACCCACGCCCCCCCCCCCCCAACTATGGTCTCATCGTCCATAAACAGCATCAGAAAATAATTTATAAACTACACTCTCCATTGCCCTTGTCATATATTCTTAGAGTTAAGCTATGACTATATCTGCGGGCGGGCCCAAGGGAGCGGGAACAAGACAGGCATCTGATAGCTGCCGAGCACTTTCCGAGAAATACATGCCATAAATCTTGCTATTTGGTGCTATTATTTGAATACAATGAATTCCCTCCCAAGTGGCTATCTTCCATTTTGCCTCAAAATGTTGTGTACCCAGAGAGGAACTCTGTGCAGCAAGCGGCATCTCCCCTGGGCGGGGAACCCCACACACATGTGTATCTGGCCCTATAACTCCCAGCTGTTTGGGATGGAAAACATTCCAAGATGCAAGGGGCCACAAAGAAGGAGGCCGTGGGGATTTTCCTTCATTCTCATACCCTTATATCGTATTGATTAGGGTGAAGATAAACTGGGGTCTTAAGGTTAACTGGTACCCTGAAATTAAGATTTTTAATAGACATCCTCAGACAGGATGTTTTTTTGCTGCAGATAGCAAGTCATAGCCAGGGGCAACCACAAAGTGCTCCCCGAGTCTCAGAAGGCTTAGTGAGACACCATCCCTGCCTGCCTGGATCCAAAAAGCATATAAGGGTCATCTTTGTCTTATCAAACCCAATACATGGAATTTGGATTATCACAGAATTTCTATTTGGAGGGGGTAAGGTACTTGGCCGACGATGTCTTCATTTTAGCAATAACACGTTACTTTGATGTAATAAAGTGCTTTGCAGGTTGCAAAGTACATCCACAAAATTAAATTTTTATTCTATGAGTCTCTCAACAGCCCTGTAAGCTAGCTGGGACAAAAATTATTAAGCCCATTTTTCTTAGGAGGAAACTGAGTTCAGAGACTTGCCCCGTGTTAATTTGCAAGCCTTGCCTATGTTTGATTTAAAATGTGACTCAACATGCAAGAATCTCACTAATACTCAACTTTTTTGGAACATCTCAAGTGCATAAAGGAAGCAGGTATATGACAGAGTCCTTCAGAATAAAAGACCTGAATGATCTTCCTTTACGTGAGATATTTACATAAAGCTACATAAATAAAATGAGGCAAAGTAAGCCCGCAGCACATTAATCAAATGTTCTCAAGCATTCTGCTGTTTGTGGTGCTGGAGAGCGTGTATGGAATTAGGAGCCGTGATGCTCTTCGGCAAAGCCTACGTGTCAAGGTGGGAACAGCAGGTCTGAATGTCACCCTTGGGGTGACGG